AGGTAAGAGTGTAAGGACTTAGCAAAGCTAGAATCATGGCTGAGCCTCTGAAGCAGTGAGGCTTAACCGATGTCATTGTAATTTTTTACGTCATTGATATCATTGTGGAACCAATGTAAGTAACTAAGGAATTTCCCAGTTCAAATATTTATTGATTTATTACTATCAATTTCGAAACTCCACATATTTCTAAAGGGAGTTGTGATGAGACCATGCCTGGTCTGAGGCAGGAGCCAGCAATTTATGGTGACTGGTGAGTGAAGTGAAGCTAGAGTATAGACCTGTATTTTGCACGTTTCAATTTAAGTTCAACTTATCAAGTAAAAAAGGCATCATTTTGAAAAAATGTGGTCAAAATTACCCCATTTTACGGTTCTCTAGACAATTCTTGTCTCTAACTCCTAAAGTTCTACTGCTGAGTGAAGTTGAAGTACTCACTTTTCCCAGACGATCGCCTTTCGAAAAAGGTTGATAAGGCATGTCTCTAAACTGTTCGGGAACATCGCAAGGTCCCCAACCATCAGGATTATCTTGAATTACTGGAGCTATGAACTCAGCCGCCATTATTTACAATTAATGAAAATTACAGATAAAAAGCGCAACAATGATGAATCTGAAGAACTTCTATCGCTTCACACGTTGACGAGGTTGGACCGACGCTTATAGCACTAAAGTCAAATGTGCGCTGGAGCGTCTATACGACGAATAATTAACAATAAAGGTTTTGTGACAAATTATTTCTCAAAGTAAGTCTGAAGTTCGAAAAAAAATGTTAGTATCTTTTGGAAAGTCACGAATAAAATGATAAGATTTTAAGAATTTTGAGACAAACTTCAGAAAAAATCATATAAATTCCTGTAACGTACGACATCAACAGACATGATGCCCAACTGGATCTTTATAAGTGTATGAAATTATCGGGACAATTCTCCAATTACAACAAAATACTTGATCAATAACAAAAATGTAAAATTTTTTTAGTAATGCGACTTGAATAAAAAAATAAAGTCTGACATCAGGATGAAAATTTCGAGTAAAATATTTTCATACAATGTAGATTTATCGCATCTAAATACAAAATTTAATACAAAAAACGACTATAAAGGATATTTAATAAAAGAAATTATTTGATTTTTTACATATTTTCATGTTGAATTACATGCCGGCATTTTAAATTGTTCGGGTGTCTGACTGGTGATATTTGTGCTTGCGGTAAGCACTATTACATTCTGAATCTGAACGCTGCCTTCGTCAGTGATGGTGTAAACAGAAGGAAGACGGTTCACAATTTAATTCTGGCGGCCTAATACTGTGACTGAAAAGGTTTTACCGTAACATAATTAACGGTTAAGCTAAATTTTGACTATTTAAGCACTCTAAAACATTCCCTATTGTACTAGAATTGAATCAGCTTCTCTAAAAAACTGGTGGAATGTAAAATTTGTTAGGTAGTTCTACTTAACGAACTAGTAGGTATCTCATTTAAAGAAAATAGTTGATTGATCGTTACTAAGTATTAATTTTTTAGTTTATTCAGAAGGATCTCTATCAATTCTGTATTTATATGTGCCTTAAATTATTTATCTTTCAGTTTGCTAAAAAATTTACTGTGTTTGCCTAATTACAGGGATCTTGGCATCTCATTGTTATCATTCGGGTGCTGCGATCTTCTTCCTGGAGTGATGGCGGATAACACAGAAGTGAAGTATGAGTATCGGGACCATCCAGCTGATGTCCAGCTCCACGCCTGGGGCAACACCCTAGAGGAAGCTTTCGAACAAGTGGCTACAGCCATGTATGGTTACATGACAGAACTCAGTAAAGTAGAAATCACTCAAACTGAAGAAATATCGGTTGAAGGACACGATATGGAGTCTCTTCTGTACCAGTTCTTGGACGAATGCTTATTTGTGTTTAGCACTGAACCTTCGTTTCTAGTAGCCAAGAGGGTTGAAATCACATCCTTTGACAAAACTGAATTCAAGATTTCTGCCAAGTTACACGGTGAAACGTTTGATATTAGCAAGCATTCTCAGGGAACTGAGGTTAAAGCTATCACTTATGCAAGCATGGAAATATATGACACTCCTGATAAGTGTGAGGTATTTGTTATCATTGATATATAAATAACACCGTAATCTATTAACTAAGATTGCAGCTTATAATGGCCTTTTGTTTATTGTGATATCACTGTGAAGTCGGAAGTAACCTAAGTCCTAAGAGGCTAAGGCGCTAAGCTAATGGTTGATCTTATAATGACCAATTTTTCCAGTATTTACTGATCTAATTTTTGTTTTTGCATGAAGATGCAGTCTATGTTAATGACTTACTGACTGCCGATCGTTACTTAGAGTTAGAGCTCCAGGAAGATCTTGCCTAATTAAAAGCGATAAATGCTATTGTATTTTCATATGCATAATATAATCTATGTTGAACTGTCTTCAGGAAGATTCGTTGTTTAAATTTTTTAACATTTATTTTTTTTAAGAAATTTGATAAAATATCGTGAAAGCTCTATTGTTATTACAAACCTTTTAACCGAGCAAATCTTTCGGAGTTTCGGTTGAGCTTTTAGTGTACTGGAGTTGCTCGCATCATTTTTGAGTGTTATGCTCGATTGTTTACATGTGATCTCATGTCAAATAATACAAGGTGCGCCAATGTCTACGTAATATTTCCCCTCCATTGTCGCTTTGGAGAGAACGTTTGCTCCACCGACGATTCCATGATTGTTATGCATTACGCTACTATCAACTCACGCAATTCATTCAAATTAATATACGCATAGATCAACTGATTTCTGACCATTTGACTAATTAAAAAAATAGACACGAAATATTAAATTTATCTCTGCCCGGCTACTGTTTATTCAAGCTACATTTTAAATTCTAGTGGAACTTTCATCGCGCTGTCGATCATTTGGCCCCAATTGCTGTCTTATTATTATTATTTTTTTTTTTTCAATAAGCTGCTCGCCTCGACTTCAGCCTGGAAGTATACGAGTTAAGTTTTTTTTTGTTTTTCAATATAAGTTGATTTCGGTTAATAATGTGCGTGTAGTAGGTATATTAAAACACCGTATGTAATTTGGGTGTTTTTGGCACGAATTATGTTGTAAGTATTGCCGTCCTGTGAGAAATCAAACTACATCCGAATTGTACAAAGAATTGTTTGATATCCTTAGGAACTAAAAAATTATAGTATTTTTCGATTCGGCTATGAGCAAAGTTATGGCAGACTGGACTCCTTCGTTTCGGCGCGATCAATTTAGCTACAATATCCTGTTAGTTAGTAGAATAAGTTTTTGTACATTTTAAGTATAGAATAAGATTAGATAAATCTTTATTGAAAATTTAATCAATCTTTTAATCCTACGTAGCAAAGTGAACCCGTTAAAGTTGCCTTACATGGCGTATTCTGAGTCTCAGTGAATTTAAAAAAAAAAAGATTTAAGAGATTAAATTTAAAGATCATCTGAGTTTCTCAACGCCGCTACAATGAAAATATTATTTGTGGCTCTCTTTATTCTGCATTTAGTTGAGCAACGTTGCCTGGTCACCCAAACTTGAGAAAGACAAGACACATCAAAGGAGTTCTTAGGAGAACGAGTCTAGTCTTCCTTGGATTTAAGGATGTGGTTTATGAGCAGCGTCCGGAGAAGATTGAAGTTCTTAGTATGTCAAATAGAATAACACGTGCCTCTCTTATAGAGGCTCAAAAATATACTCATGGGTATTACCGTAACGAGAATTTATTCACGCTCGACACTGAGGAAATCAGCAGGGGCCATCAGTTTAAAATAAATGAAGCTAGGTGTAAAACTTCTCAGATGCAGCACTTCTCGCAGCTCGTTATCGATCCGTGGTACGGCCTGTCAGCGGAGATTGAAAGGCACCGACCAAGACGAAGAGATTCTGCGATATTTTTTAATTTGAATTGAAGGCTTCGGGTATGCTGGCAGCACACCTCCCAGCCTGAGCACAACTGGGATTTACGTCACTCCACTTCACTTGTTGGTTCCACTTTAGTTTTTATTTAATTTTAGCACTTCCACCAGCCAGTGTGGCATTAAATTGTAAAGAGAGAAAGAGATGGATTGATTAGGCTTGGAAGAACTTTATAGCCTGGTCACCATATTGCAGCTTAGCAAATATTGACCCAGATGACGGATGGCAGCAGTGCATCTCCTTGTTGGGGCGTCTCCACCACCGAGAGCTGAGAAAAGATCCCATTGCAGTGAGAGGCCTTCCAGTCTTGAGCAGAATTCCCTTCGTTGGTTGGAAAATTGTGTGCAGTGCAGAATGAAATGCTCAATTGTGTCCTCCACATTACATACTGAACAGTTACTTGAATTGGCCAGGTTGAATCTTGCCAAATGAGCGTAGACACCAGCATGTCCCAGGCGCAGGCGTGACACAGCGCACTCAACAGAGCGTGGCAGCACTCCATAATCAACAAAGGCTATTTCAGATCCCAAACTTCTTCGAAAGGTCCCCTTGCCTGTTTCTAGCACGTCAGCTGCCCATTGGCGTGTCCATTCTTGTAGCGTGAGAGACTTAATGGAACAGATCCACTCCTCAAAACACAGCTGAGATCTTGCTGAGCGGTTGTTAGAATGTGCCAAATTTGCTACTCTGTCTGCGACCTCATTTCCACGAACACCACTGCGGCGTCTGACCCAGCAAAACACCACCCTGTCAAGTCCCTTCACCAGCATTAGCTTCTGTATCTCAAAGATACAGAAGCTCACAGATAAGATACAGAAGATACAGCTCAAAGATACAGAAGCTGGACACTCATACTCATGCGGTATGAGTGTCCAGATGAGTTGGATAAAAGCTGCATGCAGAGCAGACCTTGAATCTGTCAGAATTAGGATTGACTCCTCCCTCAGAATTAGGATTGACTCCTCTCCGCTATATTCCTACCGGAAGCACATCATTCAACGGTAGCCACATCCGCTTGTGGCGCAGTAATACCATTTCAAATTATACTGCTTGGAATAAATAATAAAATTAGTCTGTCGAATAAACAATTAGTCTGTTTCGTGTAGTGTGGCACACTAGTCAGCAATTCGGACAAAACTCAATTTGAGTAGGAACTTCTTTGTATGTAGCGTGAATAATTTTTTTGAACCTAAGAAAATGTTATTCCCGAAACCCATCATTAACTCGGGGGTCGATATTACAACCGAAAGAAAGCGCATTACTAGCAAAAAAGATGTTTTGACCGCAGAAATGCTGGTGTTGAGTCCGCTGCCAGACAGTGTAAATAATAAAAGCCAGTAGCAATACCCCCGAAACTACGTCGCAGACTTGTAAGTAATGAAGAGAAAGACTTTATTGTATTCCGATGACCTAATCAACTCAACATCGTTCCCTTTTGAAGTGGGTCTTAGGTCGTCAGATGTCCCGTTCTCAGCAATGTCACTAAGCACCGTATTACAAAGCTCACGGTCTCACACACGAGTGTATAATTTTTGTTGGGGTCTTCTTTCAGGTTGCCTGCCGAAGATCACCACTGCCCTGGATGTAACTGTCGCGGAATACACAAATACTTCAACTGCTGTATCGCGGTATCCGCCTAATCACGGCGCGAAGACGAGCGGTGGCCAGGGTATGAAGTGATGCTTCGACGCAACGTTCAGTGGTGGACGGCCAATCGACTTTAGGCCATTCGACCTCGTGTCTGGGGGGGTATAGAGCTCAAAATATTCAAAGCGGAATGATGTCAAGGGTCGGTTACGGATAGCAGGTTCAAGATTGATTAATAGTACACGCGTGAACGGCCTCTTTCAAGATTTGAAGTCAATTGAGGACAACCTTTGGCTATAAGGCAATGATTTAATTTTCAGTTTTCACACTCTGCAACATATTCATGTTCGTATGAAAGAGATTATCGCAAATCTATTCTAGACGCAATCCACGCTCAGCTGACTTCAAAACTCCGGTGCGTACCAACGGCACATTGCTGGAAAGCAGTGTAGCGTCTTCCAATTCAAGAGTAAAGTTAGAAGTGCTTGGTTCGTCATAAAGTTGAATCTGACTTGGAGAATTCTTTGGCCTAACAACATAACATACATATGTCGGCGCTGAAGAGTACGCCCGATGTGGCCTGTCGCCGATTCTTGTACTTTCCGTGACTTGTCCACAGCAGATCTTAAAACAGGTCCTTCAGCCGATCTTTTCCAAACTGACGATAGTTTGAAATAGCTACTAGGCTTCCACTGGGTTCGATACGGTGCAAGGCATTTCAAGTCTGTACATATCTTTTTCCATAGCTTCATCTAGTCTGTTCTTGAACGCGTTTATACTTGGAGCGTAAACAATGTAATCGGGGAGGCTGTTCCATGTGTCGGTTATTTGAAGCGTGGATGAAATGTTGTTGCTTGGATGAGTTGCAACGCAGCTTTTTCAGTTTAAAGACGTGGCCCCTGGTGTTGGTTCTTGACTTCTTGTTTCAAATTCTAGTAATCCCTCTGGGACCTTTTTAAACCATTAGTATGCTTGTATACTTCAATGGGGTCTCCACGCAGACGTCGGTAACAGAGGCTTGGAAACTTCATAACCTTTAATTTTTCTCCATAGGACTTGCCCTTCAAGCCTGGAATTATCCATTTTGCACGCCTTTGAACACTCACTATTAAATTTGTGTTCCTTTCAAGTCTCGGTGACCACACGGCGTTTCCAAACTCTAGGTTCGGGCGCACGACAGTGTAGCGGATCTCGCTACATAGAACTAATTTTATGTTTATCATATCTCTCTACATAGAACTAATTTTATGTTTATAATATTTATAAGAATAGTCTAGAGAGAATTCATTTCTGTTGGTAGGTAACATTTCACAACCGCCAAGCCACTCTCTCTCTAGCTTCATGTACATGTAGTGTGTAAGTCAGTGTAACTTAATCTCAGGTCTTCAGTTGTGCTAACGTAATAGATAAATCTGGAGTTGTGTAACGTAATAGATAAATCTGGAGACTTTGCAAGGTAGAAATAAGGTT